AAGTGGTTATGGTGTCTGGTGTCCCATGACAGGTTTCCGTTTAAACTTTTCGAAAATAGTTTTAGACCGAATGGACAGATGGTGTCCATTCGGTCTAAAACTATTTTTGAAAAGTTTAAACGGAATCTGTTGTGGCCAAAACTACTTTTGCGCTTTTTTTAAAAGAGCATCACATTTTATCTATAAATTGTGCTAGCAGTTTTGCTAGCAAATGTATAGATTGGGAGAAAAAAACTATTTAAAAATCAGTGTTTCTCCTAGCTGTCAATCAATCCTTTTTATATGCTGAAGTATTGATTAATGGGGAAAGTAGAAGGAGCATCCCACAGGTGGTACTTCTGCTCTACATGCATAGCAACCATGCCACATGTGGTATGGTTGCTATAGAAACTCCCTAGCCAAAGCTACTAGCGTTGGCTAGGGAGTATGGGAACTTCATTCAGACACTGGCATGCTGGCAATGAAGCCAGCATGTCTGATTCATGGATAAGGTGTGATTTGATTGGGGAAGTGTCCCCGGGCAGGGCACATCAGTGAAAAGAGCAGGAAGAGGGAGGAGCAAGATTTTGATATATGTCTATATTGTCAGGGGTAGGCAACCTTTAGCACTCTTGAAGTGTACTACATCTCCCTTGATGCTTTGCCAGCATTATGGCTGTAAGAGTATTATGGGAGATGTAATGCCAAAGGTTGTCTACTCCTCGTCTATAAGGTTTGGTAGGTATGTCATCTGTGATTTACATCATTATGGTCAGAATCATACAACAGATCTTTGCTCTCCCCAGCCCCTCTCTCTCCATCCTTCCCATAACTGTTTCATCTCCATCCATGTTCCCTAGGCCTCACTTCACACACCCTGTATCAAGCAATACTGATTCTCTCCATTTTCTTTAAGAACATTTCCACCCACCCAGGTTCCTACCAGATTTATAGAATGCTCAATTACCTCCTCATTCCAGTAGCTTCTACACTCCATTAACGTCCACAAATGCAAATTGTAGAGAGGGGCCTGACCGTAAGCTGATGTCTAGCCATTGACGCTCTTTAATACAACATGCTTAGCTTAAAATCTTAAGGATATAATAGAGATTTGAGACAAGAGGTAGCAGGGGAATTTAGAAGTGATGGCTAATTATCATTATTATTATTATAAAGCGCTACAGAATCTGTTGGCACTATATAAATAGCAATAATAATAACAATTAATAATTAGCAATCACTTCCAAATTCCCCCTGCTACCTCTTCTCCCAAATCTCTATTATATCCTTAAGATTGTAAGCTAAACTAGCTAAGCATGTTGTATTAAAGAGCTCAGCTTACGGTCAGGGTCCTCTTTACATTTTGCATTTGTCTTTGTTTGTTGTATGTGCTCCTCTACTTGTACAGCACTGCGGAATATGTGATGCTTTATAAATGCCAATAATAAATAATAATAATTAGTTTTGGTTGCTACAATAATATAGAAGCTTACAGTATACACTGGATAAATGTATTTTCAGACAGCAGCACAATTACCAGCAGATGAAATGAAAACTCCAAACCCGTCTATATAAATAGCATTGGTGTGCTTCCAATCTAAAACTTTAGAAATGTTTTGACATTGTCTTTGATGTGGTCAGTGATAATACTTATATGTTGGCCTCTTCCTCTCATAAAGCGAGCATTCCGCTAACATTTCTTCATATAGCAAACGTTTTAAAGCTGGACATAATTAAAAATAATGCTACCAGTGTAAAATGGTACCATCATAAGTGACCCAGCATGTTGTCAAACATAAATCATTCAAATGTTGCTTCTATTCGTATTCCAAAACCATATGTCTCTTTAAATATCTTTAATGCATATGGCCACTTCTGTGGCACTTATTTTGATAAAAAAAAATATTTGAGGTTTGACCTTCACAGGAGATAATTGAATGAAACAAGAAAGGTATGAAGGAATGTCTTTGATGTTTTTAAGAATTGTTTTTTACTGTGGCTTTGGGGGGTGGGGGTGAAAATGTGCAGTCATAGTTGACTTTTGCATTTGTTACAAACATACTTGAGCACAAACCTACAAAGAGTACAAAGGTATTCCAATATTGATTCTTGGCTATATACATATGGCCAGCTGCTAGTAATAATTTTACAACTAAAGAAGTGCAGATTGCTTTTTAATGTGATGCAATTTAAACTTTTTTTTCAATTCTGAGTGTTTTCATCATAGGCGTGCACACGGGGTGTGCCGGGTGTGCCTGGGCACACCCTAATCCCCGCAGCCCGCGCTATGTGCCTCCATGGGCTGGTGAGGGAGATCTCCCTCACAGGCCCACAGGCAGGGAGGGAGGCAGGAGAGGACCCAGGGAGATCTAGCCAGCAGCTCCACTGGGTTCCTCTCGCGAGGTCGGAGAGTTGCTGCGCCAATGCTCAGATCTCGCTAGACTGAACTCTAGCCCTGCAGGCTAGAGTTCACTCACCACTGGACCACCAAGGATGGCAGCAAAAGGAAAGAAGGGAGGGGGGCATTTCCTAAACGGTCCCCGCCACCCCCACAGCCCCTCCAAATAAATACACACACACAGCACCCTAACACATTTAGCACCCTTATACACAGACACACAAACACGTTAACAGCACCCTCACACATACGGCACCTTCACACATACAGCACCCTTACACATACAGCACCTTTAAACACACACACATACACACTAACAGCACCCTCACACATGCACCCACACACATACATCACCCTTACACACAGCACCCTTACACACATCACCTTTACACATACACACACACACAGCACCCTTACACACATCACCTTTACACATGCACACACACAGCACCCTTACACATACACACACAAACAGCACCCTCACACACACATGCACACAGCACCCTTATACACAGCACACACTAACAGCCCCCTCCCCCCCACACACAGCACCCTTACACACACACACAGCACTTTCACACACAGCACCCTCACACAAACAGCTCCCTCACACACAGCACACACACACACACTACCAGCACCCTCACACACACACACACCACCCTCACAAACACTCACACAGCGCCCTCACACACACACACAACACCCTTACACACACACACACTAACAGCACCCCACACACACACAGCACACTTACAAACGTGAAACAAAAAAGGGGGGAAGAGTCTGCGCTGAACCAAAAGAGCAGCAACCCTGAAAGGGGAATCCCTCAAGAAACCCTTTAAGAGACTGGAAAATGCAAAAGAGGGGGTTAAGGGCTGCGCTAAAAAAATAAAATAATAAATAATAATAAAACCAGATATAATCAATAGACAGAAGTTCGTCCAAGAATAAATTGAAACAGTCTCACTGATATCTGATGATAAGATAATAATCCTCAGGTGTTGCTCCTTCCGTATGGCAGATAGTCCATATATGTGGAAATAAAAACAAAAAGAGAGCTGCCAATGGTGAAATATTGTATGTCCAGATGTGATGTATAAATCAAGAGAAAGATATTTCACTCACATTTGTTGGAGCTTGAGCCAGCTCTAGGAGAAGAGGCACTTAGTGGTTTAATCCCCACTAAAGGATATACTTGGATGGTTGGTCCGTCTGTCCGGCTTGGGATTCCCTTGGTGTAGGCTGGGACCTGCTCAGATGTACGCAATTCTTTGGTGCTTAGGAGATAGGTCCGCCTCTTCCAATTTTGGATAATGGGTATCCACGAAATATATAAAACAGCAGATAGTGCTCTCAGTGTGAACAATAAAGTAATAATTATTAAATAAGTTATACTTACAAGAATAGAGCAGACAGATACTGCTCTATTGCCACAGCGCTGGTGGAATTATCCCCACCTAAGGATTTCTTTGGATGGGATACACTTGAGAATACGTTTAAAAAAATTAAAAATAAAAATAAAAGTAAAACAAAAAGATAAAAAATAAATAAAAAGTATAAAATATATATATAAGAAGGCAGGAGTAGTAAAAGTGTATAAAATGCAATAAAAAAAGTATAGAATTGGTCCTAGTATAAAAGGTAACCAAAAATAACTTTTATTGATTTAAAATACACTTATTAAAACTATTTACGCGTTTCACCTATGAGGTTTTTTCAAAATGGTAAAAGAACTAAAGAATTAAATGCTTCTCAAAGAAGCTAGATTGCAGGCGTGGCAGTTGTGCTTCTTCTATGCCAGTGAGGGGGAGGGATTGACGGAAGCTGGAACATGGAGACACAAAGAGGGTGAGGTAGTAACATAATTGGGCTATCGCCAGCATGCTAAACATGCTATTGACAGACACATTTTATTAGTGCCAATTTGGAAGTTAAAACCTAAGAGCGCACACGACTTGGGTAATTAAAATTCTTCCTCTTTGTGAAAATAAAATATTTCTATTAATGTTTTTAAGATGAGGGCTAATTAAAATATTGAGGTCTGTAGCCTGTACTATGTATTCCATGTCAACAAACTCATGCAGGTTTCTTTCCAACGTTCTGCTAAAGCCTCTCAGTTGAGAATTAAGGCTCTGTGAACAAACTGATTTTTATCCATATATTTTTTTCACATAATATTGATTTAATCTTAATATTGACGATTTGAAATCAATTTAATTGGTATAATAAGTTATATAGCTTGTTAGAGAACTGAACATAAGTGCCTCCTGCTACACCTGGTCATTGTTATCCAAACTTCCTCCACAGTTGCTCATCTTTTTGCTATTTAATTTGGCTTATCGCACAATCTTAATGCTCTAGCAATAAAACGTGCCAGTGTGCTTTTGATCTTCAGTGCCTTGCCAAAAGTATTCACCCCCCCTTGGCATTTTTCGTGTTTTGTTGCCTCACAACCTGAAGTTAACATGGATTGTTTGAGGATTTGCATCATTTAATTTACAGAACATGCCCACAACTTCGAAGGTTTTTTTTGTATTTTTTTTTTTTTTTGAAGCAAACAACAAATAGGACAAAATAACATAAAAGGTGGGGCGGAGCCTGGCTGTGGAGATGATCAGACATGGGTAGCACGAGCTACAACATAACTACAACTTATGCCAAAAATAACCCGGCTAACAAGCTACAAACTCCGTTAAATTGCACCACCCATGTAGAGGATGCAAAGGAGATTGCAACGAAACCGCAAGTACGACTCTAAGACACCGGGAACTCGAGACATATCGCTGGGGCCTAATGCGACGCTTGGACCCGCAACCTGGATAGAGACAAAGGCGAGTGTGAGGCGGCCGATCACCCAGCCCGAAACTCCCTAGAAACGGACCCTAAAGCTGCAGAGGAACACCCACGTGCCTCCCTCTCCCCCCCCCCCTTGCCGGTGAGGGATATCCCGGCACCAACAGCATACCGATTGTTTGCCCCAAAGACTGTCCGACCCAAGGACCACCGACTCCAATATGGCGGATGCCACGTGCCAATCGACAGTTATGGGGGCCAGCGGAGATCCAGCGAATCACTCTCTATCCAAATTCGACTAAATATTTGCTGCCTTCTGGGCTAAGATAGCAGAGAGAAAGCTGCACACTGCTTCAACTATACTGACCACTCCTGCAAGTATACCTCCAGAGACCTCCAGCCCTACGAGCGGACGCAGAACGGTTACTACCGGCGGCTCCACTAAGAGGCGCCGACGGCGGAACCGGCGGAACAAGCTGCAACAAAGAGCCAGCTCTCAACCCCACATTCACCTCCGCTTCAAGCGACCACGACTCCGGACGGGTGCCGAAGCGACCCCCCCAATATGCAAACCTCTATCACCAAATGCCGGATGCATGGCTTCTACATGCACATATGTCCTTGACACCACAGGGGATGGCGACTCCCAGGGGCTACAGTGCGAGCCCAGAGGGGATCGGATGAAGGTGACCGTGACAATTGTCAGGCATATCGCTGGACTTCCCCGAATATGCCTCCTGACGCACAAACTGCTTTCTGATTGCTGACTAAACTTACAGTAACGACCATTAACCTGTTATACCCATACCTTTTGCTGAGTGATCGATAAGTAATATTTTAAGTGCTAGCTAACACAATCTAATGTGGCATCCTAAGCATAGTTAAAACTCACTAGATGGCTGTTGGTTTACTTGCATGTGAACACACTAGCAACTATAAATCTTTATACACCTTCTCACACATAGACGTAACAGGAAGTTTGCAATATACATGCTTGTCCTAGTATAATCTGTGTGAAAATATGCTCCAACATGATAATCTTCAACCTATATATAACTACATAAAATTGTGCATTGTTAGCATATACCCCTGTTATAAATGTTTTGAAATAAGCACGTGGAATGCCGTGGGGGTACCACCTGCATGCTTGTTATACATATATGCACTGCAAAAATAAAAAATATAAAAAAAAAACAAAAAAAAACATAAAAGGTCAATGTGCATAACTATTCAACCCCCTAAAGTCAATACTTTGTAGAGCCACCTTTTGCGGCAATCACAGCTCCAAGTCGCTTTGGATAAGTCTCTATGAGCTTGCCACGACTTACCATTGGGATTTTTGGCCATTCCTCCTTGCAAAACTGCTCCAGCTCCTTCAAGTCGGATGGTTTGCGCTTGTGAACAGCAATCTTGAAGTCTGACCACAGATTTTCTATTGGGTTGAGATTTGGGCTTTGACTTGGCCATTCCAACACATTTACATGTTTCCCCTTAAACCACTCAAGTTTTGCTTTAGCAGTGTGTTTAGGGTCATTGTCCTGCTGGAAGGTAAACCTCCGTCCTAGCCTCAAATCACACACAGAGTTGTACAGGTTTTGCTCAAGAATATCCCTGTATTTAGCACCATCCATCTTTCCCTCAACTCTTACTAATTTCCTAGTCCCGGCTACTGAAAAACATCCCCACAGCATGATGCTGCCACCACTATGTTTCACTGTGGTGTTCTTTGGGTGATGTGATGTGATAGGTTTGCGCCAGACATAGCATTTTTTTTGATGGCCGAAAAGTTCCATTTTAGTCTCATCAGACCAGAGCACCTTCCTCCATACATTTTGGGAGTCTCCCACATGCCTTTTTTGTCTGAAAGTAATGGCTTTCTTCTGTCCACTCTGCCATAAAGCCCAACTCTATGGAGCGTACGGCTTATTGTTGTCCTATGTACAGATACCCAGTCTCTGCTGTGGAACTCTGCAGCTCCTCCAGGGTTACCTTAGGTCTCTCTGATTAATGCCCTCCTTGCTCGGTCCGTACGTTTTGGTGGGCGTCCATCTCTTGGCAGGTTTGCTGTTGTGCCATGTTCTTTCCATTTGGTTATGATAGATTCGATGGTGCTGCTGGGGATCATCAAAGATTTGAATATTTTTTTTTTATAACCTAACCCTGACTTGTACTTCTCACCAACATTGTCCCTTACTTGTTTGGAGAGTTCCTTGGTCTTCATGGCAGTGTTTTGTTAGGGTGCCTCTTGCTTAGGTGTTGCAGCCTTTCAAAAAAGGTGTGTATATTTAATGACAGATCATGTGACACTTAGATTGCACATAGGTGGACATCATTTCACTAATTATGTGACTTCTGAAGGTAATTGGTTGCACCATAGCTTTTTATAACAAAGTGGGTGAATACATACACATGCCAATTTTCTGTTTTCTATTTCTAAAAAATAGTTTTATGTATATATTTTTCTCATTTCACTTCATCAACTTAGACTATTGTGTTCTGATCCATCAGATAAAATTCAGATTAATAAAACATTGAACTTAAGGCTGTAATGGAACAAAATAGGTAAAAAAAAAAAAAAAAGTCAAGGGGGTAAATACCTTTGCAAGGCATTGTATATTCCCATGAACATTCTAAGATATGACCATTTTTAATCTCGCAACCTGATTATTTTGCTTCCATGCTTTTGATTACTGCTTGATTTTGAACATGAATTTACTCTTGTCTTTTTTGGTACTGGCTTTGTCCTGCTGGATCCAAATTGTTCAGGGCTGAATTTGTCGCAAGTGTTTTGAGGCCATGTTGCACACAGAGGCTCAGAGTGTTAGAGACCCCTCAGATATGCTTAGTCTGGTCTAGTGGGATTTTTAGCCTGCCCCATTGGTTTTACATGTGGCTGTAAGATCCTGGATGCCTTTGTATTGTGGTGTACTTGGGGCTTTTTTGGAGTAACATTATCAGTTATCAGTATCATTAGTAGTAAGTCACCTAAAATTTCTTAGAACAGTCCTGTTCCTGGCTGCAACCCCACTTGCACCCCTAAAATTATACTATGCCTCTTTGTCCTTTTGACATGTTGGGAGGTCAGTTATGATGTTGAACAGGGTATGACAGGTGCATTGTCGCCATATGGCCTGGAGGAGCTATCTAATACCTTTACCCAACCCACCCTAATGAAACATTGACACTTTTGGGTATGGGTCAAAATGTCCACAGCTTTTATTTATTATATTTATAAAATGATAATATTAATAACAATAATATTTAATTAACATTAAAAGTCATTGCCCACCCCTCAAATCCGCAGCCATCCAACATTATCACTTCTCCACATATCAATTCGCAAGGCAATGACCTATCATATATAACATAACATGGTATAACAATCCGTAAGTATAACAAAACAAGATCCAACATTTTCCACACGATCCTGGCGGGGGTATACCTTGATACCCCTATTCCACCTGGGTTCTGAGCTACCAACAAGCTTGAAACCACCAACATCTTACCAACAGGTAACCAGTCCATATTAAAACAGCCAACTCACTACTCTTGCTCTTCTCTTCCTTAAGCAGGCCCGTTACCCCCTTAACTTTCCTTCCACTAGCCCACCACTGTGACCAAGCGGGCAAAATCAAACCAAACATTAAAGGGAGGGACCAATTCAGCCTGGTAAGTTAATTAGCAATGGAGATTTTTTAAATGGCCGACATTTTATCAGCCTACCCAGAATCCTGATCTGTCAGTCACCACCCTGCTCCACCTAAGCCCACCTCCCAGCCCTGTCAAGGCCCCCTCTGCTAAGCTGCGCTTTCTTCTTGGGGCTACATAATGTCCAATTGTATCCAGGGTTGAGTGGGCATGTTATTAAGTTGGTAGAATTAAAACCAATGGATATAGTCTAGCACCAGTTATTTGAAGTGGTCATGGTGCCTGTAGTCTGTATGTGCAGTATTTCACTATGACCATCGGAGAAGCATTTCACTATGAGCATCGTTTCACCATGTGAGCCCAATGGGTTTAGGTAAGGAAGCAAATGTTTCTAAAGGGGAATCCTGGGCCAAAGTACAGCAGGCTGTAGTGGTTCTGATAAACAAAGTTTCCCTTAAGAACTTGTTTAATCTGTTTTTCTGTTTTTTGGGAGGGAGAGCGGGGGTGCCCAAAGGCACCTGACTTGTAAATCCAACCTGCACAGAATCAAATTTTCCCCCAGAAACTTGTAAGTAAAGCATATTTCAATAAATGCATAGCGTAATGACTTTAAGGGCATAATTAAGATACATAGGAAATTATGAATACAGTTTTCTAAAATACCACTCCAAATGTGTGACCTTAAAAAGGATTAGTGAACAGCAAAGCAGTTAGCTTGTTTATGCAAATCTGCCAAGGCAGATCTACACATCGCTGTACTAAGAAGCATTTCAGTAATTTTCATCTGGATAATTTCATCTTTACTGTGTATGGCTTATTCCAAGCATTTAACTGTGGTTTATGAGTTCAGTTAAAGTCTGCATCCAAAACAGAAGCGATAGTGTAATAGTTATCATACACTTCTTGGGCTGCATATTTTTGGTGTATTCTACTAAATATTATGTTTATACTTGTGTTTATACTTGTGAGTTGTATTTAAAGGAACAGGTTCTATTTATTACTAACAGCAGATGTGAAAATATAAAGGCAGAGTTATTCACTAAAGTGAGAATTCAAAGTGAATTTTCAGACAAAATAACCTGTCAACTATGCTTTTAGTTTGGCTATTTTAGCTTAAATTTGAAATTCACTTTGAATTTACTGTACAATGAGACAATTCTCAGTACATAAGTCTAATCATGTTCATTGCTAAAAATAGTTTTTACAAAATTTTGCCAATTGGATTTCATAATAATGAATTTATTAAACTAAAGCTGCTGTGAAAAATATTTTCCAACACATACTGTTTCACATTTAAAGCACCACTATAGGCACCCAGACCACTTCAGCTTAATGAAGTGGTCTGGGTGCCAGGTCCCTCTAGGATTAACCCTGCCTGCTGTAAACATAGCAGTTTTAGAGAAACTGCTATGTTTACCTATGGGTTAATCCAGCCTCTAGTGGCTGTCTCATTGACAGCCGCTAGAGGCGCTTCTGTGCTTCTCACTGTGATTTTCACAGTGAGAAGACGCCAGCGTCCATAGGAAAGCATTGAGACTGCTTTCCTATGAGACTGGCTTGCCGTGCATGCGCATTCAGCCGATGACGGAAAAAGAGGGAGGGAGTCCGGCGCTGGAAAAGAAGTAAGGGATTAACCCCTTCCTCCCCCTTCAGCGCAACGGGAGGGGGACCCTGAGGGTGGGGGCACCCTCAGGGCACTATAGTGCCAGGAAAACAAGTTTGTTTTCCTGGCACTATAGTGGTCCTTTAAGTCTAAACATTACAATTTTAATTCAATTGAAATTAAAAAAAAGAAATCTTTGCTCCCTAACTTTTCCTTTAACCCCTTAAGGACCAAACTTCTGGAATAAAAGGGAATCATGACGTCACACATGTCATTTGTCCTTAAGGGGTTAAAGGTGTATTTTTAAAAACACGTTTTTGTGCTTGTTTGATTATTTGCCTGGATTGTCCTACACTTAACATTGAATGTTATAAAAAGCTGCTGCAGTGTTTGAATAGTGCTTTCTTCCAGCCGCCGCCGCCCACCAGTTGCCAACTGCCCCGTTATTGTCGGGACAGTCCCGGCATGCTGGCGACAGTCCCGGCAACTTGCAGGGCCATGTGCTTTAATTATTTT